TCTCTACTCCTCCAGCTTCGTGGGCCACGCTTTCCGCGACGGTGGTTGCCAGGTGCAGTTTGCCGCTTTGCATTACTGCCGCGGGAACAGTGTCCATACACACCTCTCGCCACTACCACCGTCTGTGCATCCTCACGACCACGCTGAGCCAGCACGGCGGTGAGTTGCACCTTGGGACACCACCCGCCTACTATCTGTTGTGTCCTGATTCGCCCGCGAGGGACTCACTAGGTCGATTTCGGCCCCGGCCGGGGAGCAGGCCGAGGAGAGGGAAAGTGTGTCGCACCCTGTTAGTTGTAGGACATGCAATCTCCATCAGTTTACAAACGTATTTTCAGTTTGGTATGCATATGTGCGGAGTATATGCGGCTGATGTGCGGGCACACGGGAGTGGTCTCACCGTTTCAAAAAAAAAAAAAGGAAGTATAGACTATGTAGAGTAAGTGACTGTAGAAATAACTCCTACAATTGTTGTTGTGCTTCGTATTGGTTTGATATTCATGTAGAGTATGAGACATTAATTGAAAGTTTTCTGAGGTACATCTGCAATTGTCGGAAGGCAAAAAAAAAAAAGGTTTTGGGTGCTGTTGGTTAGTCGGGCGTTTTGTGTGTCGCACCCTGTTAGTTGTAGGACATGCAATCTCCATCAGTTTACAAACGTATTTTCAGTTTGGTATGCATATGTGCGGAGTATTTGCGGCTGATGTGCGGGCACACGGGAGTGGTCTCACCGTTTCAAAAAAAAAAAAAAGGAAGTATCGACTATTTAGAGGAAGTGACAGTAGAAATAACTCCTACATATGTTGTTGTACTTCGTATTGGTTTAATATTCATGTAGAGAATGAGACATTAATTGAAAGTTTTCTGAGGTACATCTGCAATTGTCGGAAGGCAAAATATATATATATAGATCGATTTTTTCTGTATGTCTGCATTTATCTGCAATTGTCGAAGGGCAAACAAAAAAATAAAAATATATATATGACACAACGAGTCCATCTATATCATAGAAAAGAGTCAGAGACAGATTAGCAATGGAATTATAGCTCGGAACTACCTGTATGCCTACGATTTCCTAGACAGCATATAGGGACAACTCCCCTGCGGATAACAGCCTCAACAAATCAGTTTGGTAGCTATTTTGTGTGTCTCATATATGTCATGTTGTGTAATTTCATGTTTAATGTGCGAAGGGCACGGGAGAACATTTTCTAATTATTGCCTCCTGATGACGTGGTCGCCGATAGAGGCGTGTGGTTGATGAGGTTTCATCACCGACATGTGGGTGTGTGTTAAATGCAGTGGGTATGTTTACCTTTCTCGTCCGTGTGTAGGCAGGAGGTATGGCTACCTCTCCTATTTGTTGGCAGCGCGGACCATAAGCATAGAGAGAGATTATCATTTCATGCATGCTACATCATGTTTGACAAGGGAGGAATGAGAGGTTGTGCGTATGGGTACGGGGGTACTCCCTGTGTCCGTGTTGTTCCCAGATGTTGTCGCATCAAGTGGCAGCATGTGTCATGGAAAGGTAGACGTGGAAGGACGGCGACAGGTGAACGGCAGCAGTAGTGTGTTGTGCGTGGTGGCATGTTGGGCTTGTACAGAGACGCAGTCCATCTTCGACCACACACAAAGGAGTTTGTTCGTACCTGTAGGGATTTTTCGAAGTCCTGGGTCAGCCAAGAGCAGCAGCAAGGAGCAGACGCAGTGCAGTATACTCTACAGCTTTTACAGTCCGTCCTCCTCAAGTCCTATCGAAGATGATTAGTATCGCACAACGGCTGGATCCGAAATGCCGGCTAGGTCCGCAATCCAAGAAAGGTGGGTGGCTGAGGTAAAACCGGAATGACTGCATGCGTGCTCCTCTCGGCCATGTCGCTGACTGGCTCTTTGAAGTGCAGATTTCTGGTTCAGCGGAATTCGATTCCCAATTTTTCGTTGCCACCTGGGTGTATTGCCCCTCCCGGTGTTTGCCATCGGGGTTGGGTTTTCGTCGCTTGGCAACGACGTTGTAAAACAAGCCTCACCTGGGTGTATGGGAATTTTTATGAAAGGTGTACAGAAATTGATTATCCTGATTGCAAGGGACAGGTTTCATTTTCAGTGTTCTCCCATGCGGTTTCGACGGTCAAATATGTGGTTACCCACAGATTTTCGCATCGCCATAAGCGAGCAGGCTCCTACTACAGTATGTGTGTTCAATTTTGGTAGCGCTAGAAGCAATTTACCCACATACAGGCGTTATTATTTTTCACTAAGACATCACGATCTGAACACAACACAACACTATTATTCTGCTCAACAAAGAATCGGGACACTAACCAATAAAGCAAAACATAATCGCATGTAGGCTAATCTACCAAACAGTCATTCGTATCTACTCGATTCCAAATACCCAACTCCACGTTCTTCCAGTTTGAATTCCGCACCATAGGTACATTTACACCCACGATGTTTGCAGTCACTGGCGAAGTGCGAAAACAGGTATACATGAAATTGTGTAAAGTATTACGTAGAAGTCGACTAGAATAGAAACATGCAAGCATTTTAGCCATCAATCTGGCTGTGGCAGCTTGGAAAAATCGAATGTCAGTACATCTACAGCAAATCGGCACATTTGACAGTGTAACGTCGACATTTTACACCTAGTAGATAACCCTGTTTCCCAATGTGGGCATGCCCGATATTGCTTCAGCGTAGACATATGTTGGCGCTTATTATACATACTAATACAAGTCTTACCAGGACTGTCTTGCCCTATTTGCATATCCAGAAAGTGTGCTGATTCCCCACACTGTTCTTGGCTAATACGAACGGGGTTGTCTATCTCACCACCATTCGTATCTAACACCATCGTTGGGTACATACCACCATGCATTCCCTCCTGATACATGATATCTTCAAATGTTGGTCCAGTCTGGTTACCATATCGCACCGTAAAAATGTCATCCATATACCGTTTTGTGCCAATGCTGTACTGCTCAATAAATTCAAATGGATACAACGATGTAGTCCCAGCGTGTGTAGCAGTTAAATACTCATCTAACGTTTCCTTAAAAAAATCGAATTCATGCATAAACGCAAAAATATTCGCTAGTTCGGGAGCTGGTGCCGTTCCCATAAAGATACCAGGGGCTTGTTGGTACATGCCGTTCCCAAATTGTACAAATCCTTCATCCAAATAAAATTCTATCCATTTACAGACCCGTTCCCATCCAATGTAATTCGCTCGACCTCTACTAGATGTAACGTTGCTCGGGTTTTCCTTTGACCACTCGATGTCTCTAACAAATGGTCTCTTGTTATCAGGCCCAATACCCCATCTCAACTTCATCGACTTAAACCCATGTCTCTCAGCTTGGTGTTCAAACGACGATTTCAAAGCTTCTCTCAATTTTTCCTTCAATGGTACTACAGGGATATTTGGGTACATACCAACGAAGTCAAATGTTTGGAAAACATGCGCATCAGTACATCCCTCCATTTTCCATTTATTTGCCTTCCGACATTGAATTGCAGATGTACCTCAGAAAACTTTCACTTAATGTGTCATGCTCTACATGGATATTAAACCAATACGAGGTACAACAACATATATAGGACATATTTCTACTGTCACTTAGTTTATATCGTAAAAATATCTCCTCTTCAATTTCAAGTAAAACCAATGACAATCCTCATGGTATCCTACATGCGTTCGTAAGCTTGCTAAAATACTACTGCGTTGATGTCCTCTTGTAAAANAAAAGCCCTTTCATCTCCGTTCATGATAACATCTTACCCTATTCTACGCAAATCTGTCACATCTACTCTCAAACAAGACGCCAACTTCAAACGAAAACGCGTTCTACGATGCCTCTACACTCCAGCCCCATATCATTGGCGTTGACTGGTTCGACATCCCTCCATTTGTGCTCGAATATCGATATCCTGTGCTACTTCTAGCAGACTTTCCCCGCTAGAGGTAATCCAACATTCCTTGGCAGCAATACCAACTTTTGCGTATTCTTCACGCCAGATCGTGTGTAAACAAGGCCGGATACCAACCAGGACTGCGTTAACTACCTTAGCCACACCTTCTGTTATCGTTCCACAACAAGCTATAATTCCACGTGTCGCTACCAACGGCTAATAATGTAGTTTAGCAGTGAGGTATCGTATGGGTAACTTCTCAGTGTGTTCATACTGAGTGCCACCATCCTCATCTTTGTACTGCCGCTGTGGGATGGGCAACTTTTCATCTACCAAAACCTTATTTGGTCGGTCAATGGTCGCCTGTTTCACCAGCTCCAACTCTCCGTGTACTGTCCTATACCCCGGTCCTTCGAGTTCTGCTTTGGCTAACCTAAAATAGCACGCCTTGCATGTGATACAGATGCAGTTGGCCGCTTTGTCGACTCTCGTAAACACCACCTTTTTGTGCAATTGTTGAAAAGATGCCCTAGCTGCAGCAAAATCTATGTGGCCTGTAAGAGGCTTAGCAACCTCCCCCTTGTCCGCGTCAGTCACTTATTGTTCTATCGCGTCGTACAAAGCATTCTTCCAGTCCTCAATATCATCGCGTGGCACTTTGAGCTCATGACATAAATCGCCAATGTACGATTCTATGGCGTCTATGAGCGATTCAAAGAAAGACAGGTAATTCAAGGCTTCAGCATATTCTGCTCTAAAACCAGCTTGTAGGTTTAGCACAGCTGCAGCGTTATCATCCTGAAGACATCTGGCATCTGTAGTAGTCAAACATTTGGGACCATCTTTGGCAACAACCAAAACTGCCATTTTTCGCCAGTTCGTGCCGAACTGGTAATAATGAACTGGTGGAAGGCGGGGAAACCCCGAAACAAGCAAATAAAATAAAGCTGCTGTCTGGCGTTACGTATGCGAACGGTTCCCGGTTCGCGGGACATAGACTATTTGTACCGATTAGGTTGTTGGTCGGTGTTGGAAACAGCTGGTCGGGACGAGGAACGAGCCCCTTGTTACTGCTTCACACACAGATCCCAACCCTCGGTGATGTTGGTCCTTGTTGGCGATGCGATCATCGGCCGGTGGAACGATGTACTCCCTCGTCTGCCTTAGTCACATTGCTCAGATGTGGGGCATGCGCCACGAATTCCAAGTTGCCGTAAGGTAAGGCGGCGATTCCTGCCAGCGGGACTCGTACCCGCGGTGGGTTGTGAACTGTCGGACCAAGCGCTGTAGTCGATGAACATAATTTTGGTTGCTGCCAGACAGGTGTAACGAAGGCTCGGGGGTGGTTGGCAGTGCATCAAGATGACCAGAAGAGCCTCAGGAGATTTGCTTCAGTTTCTTCAGACTTGGGGATGTCGCGACTTGCAGCTGTGTTGCACTCTTGGTGCGTGCGCATTTGATTTACCATCCTGAATCGTACCGATGGGTTGTGGTCAGAGAGTCTATTAGGCCATCCGCAGTTAGGTGAAGGACCAAGTTACGCAGATAATGTTTGCTGGAAGAATACTCCGAACTGTGTACTGTAGTCTTAAGGAGTCCAACAGGTTGACTGTTCGTTTGTCTGGATACGAGCATGGTAGATCTGCTAGCAGCACGGGGGGGTACGTAGACAGGAGAATGCGTATGCCTGAAAAAGGCTACTATGTGTGGGCCCCCTTCCCCGAATTCGGGAGGGCCACTTCTTCCCTTCCTTTCCTCGCTCCCGCGGGTGCCTACTCAGAGAGAGTTAAAGCGTGTCTTCTCCTCCCAAGTACGGACATACCAACACACTAGTGTTTATTCCCTCGAGGGAGTCCATTAGGGATGGCGGGCCGCAGAACCGGAGGGACCACTCCGGACGGCTCGCAGGCAGGAGACACAAATAGCAGCGAGCAGATCGACAGCATGCGGTCTGAGATCAGTTCGCTGACACAGCAAATGGGCCAGCTGGTGCAGCTGGTCGGAGGACTTGCTGCACGTATAGAGGAGAAGTCCGGCGGTGCCACGGAGGGCGCCGCTGAAAGCGGCGGCGCCGTGGAGAGCGTCGCCACAAGCACTGCAGGTCATTTTGGGACCGTGCAGTACGACGGGAGCGCGCAGGCAGCGGACCTGCGAAGAGAGTCTGGTCCTTCGGGACGACACAGCGGCGAAGTAGGGGGTTCAGACCCCCAAGAGGTGAGAGTAGCCGCTGCTCACAATCAAGCTTGTTTCAGCAGCGCCATGGGAAGTGGTGCTTCTGTCTTCGGTAGTGCGAGCAAGGGATACCAAAGCGTGAAATACAC